GCTGGCTGTCAAGGAGAAGCACTATGAAACTAAAAGATGAGAGTACTCTGGGAAAAAAAACCCGAAGCAACCCTCAATTCTGCAACTGATAGGAAGAGTCCTGAAGAAACACCTGGAGTGTCAAGCTCTGCCATAATCTACTTAATGGAGCTGAAGGGGCTGAGCTAGACGAAATGCGAAGAACTTGTTTATTTAATTTAGGTCCCATACAGTGAGTCATCCTAAGTTCCTGTACCCACTCAGCAGGGGGGGAAAAAAAATCACAGTTTTTTTTTTCTCATTCTATTTGCTCGAAGTTCAAATAAATGGTCAGGAAAAACTTCATCCTTAGCAGTTCACAGCCTTTGGAGTCGATTCCCAGTTATGCTGAGGCTTTTACAAGCCCTCATAGCAGAGCTAAACAGCCGCCACGTAAAGAAACCCCTGCTCCACCACAAACTGGACAGAACTGTTTCATACCACATCCAGCAACCACAAAAATCAGAACGAGTAGTTTACATTTAACATATTCTGAGCAGAAAAGTGTAGTGAAACTGACACAACCCCTCAGCACGAGCTGCTTTCATTTGCCTGTGAAGCTCAGCACTTACATGTGCTGGACTGCTGAATGAAAAGTTTAAAAAAATCCCTTTTGTTTTATCTGTGAAATACAGAATTAGGTCTGGTGTCAGGCAATAGTGAAAGTGAACAAGCAGCATATTTTAAGTTGTAACCACCCATGCAAAAAATAGCAACTGATATTTTATCCCACGCCTCTTTTTTTTTTTTTTTTAATGGCTCTCCCTGCAATGCAAGCAAGTTATTCCATGCTGCCAAGAATGCTGGATTCCTACTAGCAACAGTCAGCACTTTCTTTTCGGTTGCGAAAGCCCTAAGAGGCTTTGGCTATCCAGCAGCTGCGTGTCAGAGCCTGAGGTGGATGATGACAGAAGCAGCACCACCAGCTGAGTGTGCAACATCTACACAAATTCATACGCTCCTGCAGGGAGGGGTGTCTCCCAATTTCCCAATGCACCCTGCTGGCCCCAACTCCACTGCGCTGCTGTTGAGAAATTGTTACGAAGCCAAGCTTACTGTAACAATGAGTTAAAGATGTTTTTTGTTACAAACATTACATTGAAAATGTGGGAGAGTAGAAATTCTCAAGGCATTGAGGTGGTCTTCTGCTGCTACAGAAATAGTAAATCAGGCAAGGAAATCACGTCCCTGCTTCCCAAATGGGCTGAGGGGTACAGCAACAGCAAACGTGGGCAAAGCTGCGGTCCTCGGTGCCTCCTTCATTTCGGTCTTCACTGATACCACCCATGGGTGTTTTGGCTCAGAGGCAGGGACCAAGCAGCAGAGCAATGCCAGTACTGGGTGAGGTTCAATGTAGGGCCGTCCTAAGAAATCTTGTCCCATCCAAGTCCATTGGCCCCAATGGGATTTGTCTGAGGGTGTTGAGTGAGCCACCTGATGTCACTGTGGGGCTGCTCTGTGTCACCTTGGAAGGGTGATGGAGCTTGGGGGAGGCACCAAAGGCCAGAGAGCGCCAAATGTTGCAGGCCATCTTGAAAAAAGGCAAGAGGATGATCTGAGGGGACTCCGGGACAGTCATCCTTGCTTCTGCGCAAGGGAAAGTATGGACCGAGTCCTCTTGGTAGCCATTTCTGGCCACAGGAGAAACCAACACGGGTGGGGATAGCAACGCCAATGACATTGTTAGAAATACCGAGACTACTTCTGTAGTCTTCATACCTTTCCTTTATTATTAGATCATTGGAGCCAGACTAATAACAACAGTCTCCTGGTCCTCTTGGGGGCTAGCGGGTGCCCCAGCTGCTGGCCCGGCCCCGGTCTCGCCAGCTCCTGGGGCACTCTCCTACTGTGGCCGCCGGGGTGGCTCCTTCTTTGGAGGTGAAGTGGCCTCAGGGTCGCTGGCCCTCCTCTTTGGGGCTCGCCGGGGCCGCCCAGGGGAGCGTTCGCTGCCCCGACTGGGAGCGGAGGGCCTGGGCACAGCCTCCTCTGGGTCCTGCTGCAGCTCTTCTTGCTCCCCGGGCGT